CTCATACACGGTGCCGGGAACTGGAGACTGGTAACAAGTAAGTGACACAACTGCAGCCTGGAATTTTACAGGCCACTACTAAGGAGTACTCACTCAGCAAGGGAAGGCCAAGAAAGGCTTCCCAGAGCCCTAAGCATCGAAGTGCAGACCCAGAGGAGGAGGGGAGTAGCTGGGTGAGAGGGAAGGATTTGCTAATAGAAGGAACATCAGCTAATGCACTCCACAGGTTCAGGTTAGTGTCAGAGGATTTCCTGAGAAGAACCCACCTTTCCCTTCTCCGCGAGCGGAGGTCGTGAAGAGAGGTGGGCTGGTGGGAGCAGGAACCCCTGCGGGAGAGGTGCTGACTGCCTGCTGATCACTCATCCTCTCTGTTCTGGAACTTGTCAATTCACTAATTATTCATGAAAACTGTTTAATAAAGAAACTAAAATAAAAATGAAAAATATATGATAAAATGGGGGAAAGAAAGGGTGGGATTTACCCAATTTTTATATATTTTATAAGACTAGTTTGTCATCTCCATGGCTATTTCTACTATTTTTTTTTTCAAGACAGGGTTTCACTGTGTATTTCAGGCTGACCTTGAACTCACTTTGCAGCCCATGCTGGCCTTGAACTTGCAGTGATCCTCCTACCGCAGCTTCCTCAGTGCTGGGATTGTAGGCGTGCACTGCCGTGCCGGGCTTCCAACTCTTAAATAGGGGAGGGAATATGCTCTTTCCCAGCCATAGCTGAAACGCTCTTGCTTGATTTTTCAGTGCTACAATGCTGCCTTCTAGTGGACATGGAGAAAAATGTCTAAAAACCCAAACATCCTTTTACATGTTATTCCACCAAATTCCACTATTTAGCCATCCTAAAAGATGGGTTTGGTTTTTGTTACTTGTGTATAGCAAAATACATCAAGATTGGCTTTAAAAACAGATTTTTAGGTGAGACATGTTGATGTTATGTAGCCTTCTGATGGTATATGCTGAGAAAAGCAGTGTTATTTCTTGATATTTGTGCCAAAATACATAATTCAAACAACTATAAGAAGATATCAGGCAGATCAAATTTAGGTACATCCTGCAGAGTAACGGCCAGCACTATTGAAAAGTGTCAAGGCCATTGAAAGAGAAAGGCTGAAAACTGTCTCAGATGAAGGGAGATGAGGAAGATATGACAACTAAATTCAAAGAATGATCCAGCTTCATCTTGGACCAGAAAAAAGACATTAGTGAAGTGTCTGACAAAAGTTTAATGCTGGTTTCTTAGTCGTGATCATTGTACTGTTATATATGATGTTGACTTGGTGAAAGTAGAAAGGCATGCAGCTATTCTAGAAATCTTTTTTTATTTTTCTAAATCTAAAATTATTTTCAAAATAAATTTTTGAAAATTAAAAATTTCCATGTGTTTTCTTCATGATCTGATGAGTTGGGTTATTTGGGGCAGGTTCTACTGTATGGGTCATTTTTGACCCACAAGGCATCAGCTAGCCCACCTGATTGGCTTCCAGGATGAGTCCACTCACATATCCAGCCCCTTTGCAGCCCTTGGGTCTCCCCTCTGCCCCAGTGACTCTTGCCTCTTGGCCCTTAGAGCATGAGGGTCTAAGTATTTCTTATATGGGAGCTATCTTTCAAGAGGGAGTGATCCACGCTATCGGCCGTTGAAGCTGTCAGCCCAGTCACTGGCATGGCATCCCTTTTGCCATCTTCTGTGAGTCAGAGTAGTAGAATAGGTGCCTAGATTCAGTAGATAGGACAGAAACCCTAACTCTCAGTGGGAGAATTATGAACATCTTTAAATTTATCACAGATATCTGACCGAAGTTTTCTTGGATAAACAATCGAGAAGAAATTAGTCTAAAGAGCAGGAATTTGTTTTGGTCTGACAAACCTAATCCTGACAAATTCTAATCCTGGCTTTATCATTTATTAACAGTGTGATATCTCTGAGCCCCAGTTTTCTCATCTCTAAAATGGTGACAATAACACGTATGCCATAGAGTTGTTCATGGGCTTGAGTGAAAAAAAATACTAGAGATAGTAGCCGATAAATACATGAACCTAATAGTAATTGCTAGCATTTGTTAAATATTTACCAAATGCACAGTTTCTTTGCTGTGTTTTCATATGCTGTCTCACTTAGTCATTACCACTTCCTAGGCTGGTATATCCTGTTTTGCGTGGGTCGGAAAGGGCAGCATACAGTTTCCTCTGGCTTTGTCTGTGAGCCAGCTCCAGTTGTCTTGGCCACTCTGGATTCGATCATTTCTTATTTCCTTGTTGCCAGGATTTCCATTTCCACATACTATTTTTTCCATTTTATTTTAATCCCCAAGGTCGCAGGTGCTGATGTATGTTTGGCACTTTTTGGTACTACCTTTCAGCATTTGTTCTCAGGGCTGTCAGCAGTTTTTTGACAGCTTGTTCCCTCTGAACCCACGATTGCCTGCTCATCAAAGCCAAAATGTTCAGCGTCTTTGTTTCAGAGAGTGCTCTACTGTCAGCCTTCATTTTATGCAGGATTGTGGGTGCTCAGGAGTTGGCCTACTCAGGAACACCTCGATCTGCACTTCGGAGCAATTACTTAATTTGGGGCAATTACTTAGAAATGTTCCTTAAGGCAAAGCTATTGCTAGACTGTGACTGAACTTTGAAACAGCAGTATCCAAATCGGTCAAGGAACTACTTCTTCGTGCACACAAGGCTGATCTCAGTCTGTTGTTTTTGGAGGAAGGTGGAAGGTGGCGACCCTTTCTTTCTACAGAAAACTAGGTTTTTATTGCCTCATATCCTACTTTTTGTTTTCTCAATCTGGAGACAATAAAATCAAGTTTGGTTAAAGCCATCTATTTGCTATCTTTCTACTCTGCTCTGAAAATTTGTTCTTATTTAAATGGAGGGAATCACTTTAACCCTCTAGGAACTAGAGAACACATTAAATAGTACTCAAAAAAGGGAATTACTCATGTATTCATTGTGTTAGCATTCTGTTACTTTAACAAATACCTGAGATAATCAACTTACAAAGAGAAAAGGTTTGCTGTGGCTCACAGTTTTAGAGGTTGCACCCAGCAATGGGCCCTGTTGCTTTGGGAGAGGCAGCACGTCATGAGAGGGGTGTGTGGTAGAATGAAACCACTCACCTCATGGCTAGGAAGTGAAAGCTAGAAAGGGAACGAGATCAGGGTGCCACCGTCACCTTCAGTTCACTTTCCGAGTTCTCTAAAGACCTCCACTAGGCCCCATCTTCTCCTGAAGGCTCTACTAGCTCCCAGTGGTGCCTCCTTAGGGAGCAAGCTTCTCTCACATGGCCCTTTGGGACCTGTACACTCCAAACTACAGCATTTACTTAAGCACTAGGCCCTCTTTAATTTAGGTTCAATGGTGACTTTTAGAGTTAGGTTGTTGAGGTTAAACTCCTGGGTCTATACTTGCTAGCTTTGTGACCTTAGAAGATCTATTTAGATTTCTATAAATCTGAATTTCTTTGTGTATAAAGTGGAGTTTATGGTTGTTGTGCAATGAAGTAAGGATTATTTAATGCAGTTAACTCAGATCTGGCATATACAGAGTACTCCATGAATGTTTGTTCTTGTTTATTATTTTGTACTTGTATTACAAATGCATAGAATTTAGACTTTATTCTATAAATAAATGGCCATAACAAAATACTGAGTTATTTTTCACTCAATATTTTTTTTAACCTTTTTAGACCTTTGAGTCCTACCAAGTACACTTGTTTACCCATCAATAATAACTTGCTAGAGATTACATGTTCCTGAAAAGAGGAAGCATCTGGGACACATCTGACATTTTTTCTTTTAAAAGTACTTTTCAAACCATGGGTGATAACACATGCCTGTAATCTCAATACTCTGAGAGGCTGAGGCAGGAGGATTGCAAGTTCAAGCCCAGCCTGGGTAACATAATGAGTGACATAGAGTGAGCCTGTCTCAAAATTTTAAAAAAATTTTTTTTTACATCTCCAGTACTGAAAAAAACTTAAAAATAAAATTAGAGACATTTTAGATCAACTAGGCAGAGGTTAGATCATGGAAGTATCTACAGAAAATAAAGTTAACAATGGAAGATTAAGTAAATGGTGGCTTAGGAAAATTTTAAGATCGCTACTGCAGCTCATCAAATAATTACCCTCTATACACATTGCACCAGACTGTTTGGTGTAAATGTCACCAGACATTTCTTCTCATGTATGATGACTTTCATGGTAGGGAAACAGTGCATTCCATAGCAGCCTTGTTTCTGATTCTTTTGTCTTAAACACATAAGATTTCCTATCTCTTGAATTTAATAGCTCAACATCTCTTCAGAGTCATGGGCAGAACCCAGAGTTCACATCTCGGCTCCAATATGGCTTCTCCATAAGCTGTTTACTCTTTTTATTGCTAATGATGCAATGTTCTGGTTTTCAGGAAAGAAAAGGAAAAACAAGTCTGGCAGATAGTCCCTAATTACCACTTGTGGTTGAAAAAATAATACTTGAAAGCCAGCATGAAAGCAACAAAACACTAAGAACAATATTGGAATTCCCATGTGATACTTACAGCTCCTCCTGTGCAATTAATCAGCTCATTAGGAACATAATCTTATTTCATTTCATTTGCTCCTGATAGTTTAACTGCGACACCTGAATGTCCAAGCAGGCTCAGGAATTTCAGTTAATAATTTTAGACCTCACTGTCATTTTACTATCTTGAGCAAGAAATGACCTTCACAATCTTTGGACACAGGAAAATAACGCAGAAATGTATAGAAGAAAAATAATTCATTGTAAAAAAAATACCTTTATATGAATATTAACAAGATACACATAAAACTTTAATAAGCATCCTAAAATACCTTTTAAAAAAAGTCTCATTTAATTAGTATTGTATATGAAGATGAAAGCAATTAGGAATTTTGTTAAAGATTTATGAAAGTCTTGGGAAAACAATAAAATGATAGATGTGAAGGTATTGATTTTTACTCTCTTTTTTTCTGTTTCAGGGATTGAACATAATCTTTCATGTAGCTTTGGCTCTCCTAAAGGTAAGTCTGGTTTTATTTAAAGTTGTTAAACTATGTCACCTGTTTGCCTTCAAAATTAAAATAATCCAATTTACAGCCTTTGTCTCATTTCTGAGAAACTCTGGTCTTTTCTCTCCTTCCCATCCTTTCTTACTGTGCTTATTTGGAGTTTATTTTTCTTATAATCCATTTAATCTTGCTACTACAGCATTTCTGTAAGTAACATAGCTTTCATTCATATGGGTTGAATAAGAGAAAAAGTTAAAACCTATTTTCTGTCAAAATGAAGCCAAGTTTTTTTTTCTTAAAATACTACTTACCAGAATAACATTCCTGGAGGCACCTAAACATATAATTAAATTATTTAAAAGGTTCTGTAATACACTGACTAAAAAAGAAACTGGTACATTTCAATTTGCAGTTCTTTTTCTGATAGCTGGAAATTTATAAGACACTTTAGAATTTAATTATAATTACCTTGCGAGATTTTATATAAACATATCACTATAGTTTTAACAGCATGGTAACAGCAAGGCATTTGCTATAGAGTTGGTGAAAATAACCCAGTCAAAGAAGACATTCTGTTACTCAAGGTGATAATTGCCTGGTTTATAAAAAGGCACAGGCCTACCCTTCCTGGTATAATATAATGATTAAAATATCGGACCCTGGGCTCAGACAGATTTGGTTTTAATCTTTATTATGATATTAGTGATGAATATTAATTGTACAAAGTAATGGTTCTCCCTGGGATGCTTCTATCCATGCCTGTATCATGCTTCATTCGTGTCCATCTTCCCTTCTCCCTCTTTTGCCCTCCTTTTTCTTCCCCTACTCCTGGATCATCATCTTCCCTAGTTGTTCCTCTTCTCCTTTCAAGTCTTTGTATGTGTGTGTGTTTCAGTTTCCACACACAAGAGACAATATGTGGTACTTACACAGTATTTCTGTGTCTAGCTTACTTATCTTAACATGATGATCTCTAGTTTCATCAATTTTTCTGCAAATGATACAATTTTAATTTTCTTTATAACAGTAATACTCCATGTATTTTTGTGATGAATATATATTCCTTACCCATTCATCTACTGATGGGGACATGGGCTGATTCTGAATGTTGGCTATTGTGAATTGTGCTACAGTAAATATGGACATACAGTAAATATGGACATACCTTTTCTGTATGCTTATTTCATTTCCTTTGGTTAAATACCCAGGAACAGTGTAATTGGATCATGTGGTAGTTCTATTTTTAGTTTTTCTAGGAACCTCCATACTGTTTTCCGTAATGGCTATACTGATTTATTTCCCTGCCAACAGTCTGGAAGGATTCTTTTTTCACCACATCATCACCAGCACTTTTTTTTCCCGCAAATAATAACCATTCTGATGGGGGTGAGATGGAATCTTAATGTCATTTTTATTTTATTTGCCTGATAGCTAACGATACTGAACATTTTTTTCATTTACTTATTGGCCGTTTATACTTGTTTGGAGAAGTATCTGTTTAGATCATTTGCCCATTGTTTATGAAATTATTTGATCTTTTGATATTAAGTTTTTAAAGTTCTTTACATAATCTAGATATTAATCTTCTGTCAGATGAATAGTTGGCAAGATTTTTCTCCTACCCTGTAGGCTGTTTCTTCATTTTGTTGATTGTTTCCTTTGCCGGGCAGAAGGTTTTTAATTTGATATAATTCTTTTTCTTGATTCTTGCTTTTGTTTCCTGGGGTATTGGAATCCTACTCAGGAAATTGTTACCTGTACCAGTATCTTGAAGAATTTCCCCTATGTTTTCTTCTAATAATTTCAAAGTTTTATGTCTTAATTTTTAAGTTGGTTTATGTACAAGGAAGAGATTTGTTTCTAATTTAAGTTCTACTATGTGACCTTGGACAAATTACCATAAGTACTCGGAGCTGTAGTTTTGAAAGAATAATAAAAAATAAACGTATGGCATTGTTATAATTAAGGTTATACATAAAATTTCCTCATATGGCATTTAGAGCATTTTATTGCCCCTTAAATGTTGGCTGTCATTATTGTGATGACTGATGTCTTTCAGAAGTGTCTCAGAATGTGTTTTCAGGTTCCCCTTCATTCTGCCCAGTGCCTCAGTTGTCTGGAAGGGCCTCTTGGTATCTTCAGAGAGCCTTGATATTTAACACACCTGACCCTCACCAAAAGCATGAAATAGTCTAGGTCCTCTGATACTTAAGACGTGGATAACAACCACTCATCACTGTTCAACTTTTGCTTTCTGTGAAGTTAATAAAATGCGCTTTATTTAGTAAATCACTTTGTAATTAAATATGAATAATCCCTATGCCACAGTTATTATAAGTTTATAATATTATAAATATTTAAGATGTTTTAACAAAATATATCTTTTAATGAAATCATGAATCTTGACCTTAACTTTCTTCTTATCGTTAAAACTAACCAAAACCAAAAAATAGCCAGGCACAGTGCCACATGCCTATAATCTGAGCTATCTCTGGAGGGTGAGGCTGGATGAAGTTTAAAGGCAGCCTCAAACAGCTGAGACCCTGTCTAAAGAAAAACTAATAGGCTGGGATGTAGCTGAGGGATAGAGTGCTTCGGGATTTAATCTCCAGTACTGCAAAAAATAACAAAACCAAAAAAAAAAAAAAGAAAAAAATTTTTGACCATGCCTTTTTAATAGGGCTGAGATAAGATTTTTAGACTGTCTAAGCAGTGACCATATTATGTAATTCAGATTATAAAGATACTGAGTTATAAAGAAGTATAAGGAAATCTAAAAACTTCTGAATTTTCTTATCACTTCTGATTTCCTTTTTAACTCTCACATATTGCCTCTGTCCCAGTAAGCCTTTCCTCACATTTTGGGTAATCGCTATACTGGTAGATGTTAGTTAATGGCCTTCTTGACTGACATGTTGATTTGTTTGTATTATTTTCATTTGTTTTGGGCCATGTTAAGCCACAAATGGCCTGGGCAGAGGATATTCTTTGGCCACTGGGCAGAAAGGCTATTTATGTCTTCTTTAACAATATATCCACAGTCTTCAAACATTACTTTGGAGACTTGGGCTGGTTAGAGAAGCTAAAAGTAGAACTTATCACTAGTGGCCTATATTTGTATACTTACCTTGTGTGAATCTGAAACTCCATGCACAGATAATATAGAAAGAGCTCAATTGAAGGTTTTATTCACTCAACTGATTGGTCCACTTGGCAAAGAGAATACCTAATCATAAATGACTGTGATGAGCTTCCCATTTCTAATCTAAAACAATGCATATGCAATAAAAAAAAAAACGCCTTGGGCAGCTTAAAGTTCTTCTGAACTTAACCTTAATAATTTTCCATAGAATCGAAGTTTTTAGATTTCTCTAACTTCGAAGTATTTCTTGTGATGAGGGTGCTCGGAGAACTGTGAGCATTTACTCTGCTAATTGCTAGCATGGGCTCCTACCCTCTTGATACTGAGGAGATGAAGGCCCAAGATTGCCTAAAGTCTTTTGTCTGGATTTGTTTTTCAAAATAGCACTGGTAAACTGTTGCTCAGTTTAGTTTAATGATACCTGTTTAAATGAGACCTATTTCTGTGGTGAAATAGCTTATAAGATAGCTAGAGTGCTTTTAAGCTAAAATAATGATTCACTGTAACTGTAGTAGGTAGCATCATCAAGTTATTTAATATCCAGCATGTATGCTATGTGTATCCTCCCCAAATCTAATCCATTCATTACACCAAGCATTCAGGAGTCATGACACAGTACATTCAGTAGATTAAAAATGATCCGTCAAAACTGATCTTAACCATTTCATGTTGGGCAGAGAAATTTTTCTATGTTCTTTGCTTTCTTACTGTGGTTAAAAGCAAATAACAGAATGTTTTCTTCCTCCTTCCCTAAGTATTATATGCTTATTTTGTCTTAGGTATGTATGAAAACACTACAGAGATTAAGAAAGCCCACTGATAATCTCACCACCAAAGATAACCATAATAAAAATTTGGCATAGAAACTTCCTGTAAAGCTGGTTGCAGTGGTGCATACCTGTAATCCCAGGTACTGTGGAGGCTGAGATGAGAGAGTCAGAAGCGTGAGGCCTGCCTGGGCAGCTTACGAAGAGTCTGTCTCAAAACAAAAATTAAAATGGGATGGTGGTGTAGCTCAGTGTCATGAGAAGTGCCTAACATATGTGAGGCCCTGGGTTCTATTCTAAGTACTGTGAAAAACAACAACAAAAAGTTTCCCCATGCTTTAGTCTATGAACATGTAAGCAGGCATTATATACCTGTGTACAAGTATGTGTATATTTTTAAATGTGATTTGAGAGTTGTAGAGAAGAAAATAAAGAGATAGATGTGAAATCCAGAATACTGCAAAAGGATGGACATGTGTTTATTTTTTCTTTCCAGAAATGTTGTAGAACAGTACTATTTTCCATTTAGTACTGTATCATGAATATCTTCCCATGCTAGCATGCACATACAGCAATTAAAAGCGTGTGAACACTGGAACTAGTTTATGTAACTTCAGATGCCATCTCCAGTAATTTGTGTAGTGGTTGTAGATAAAAATTAGTTTCTCCATTTTTGAAAAGAGGATATTGGTAGTACCCACCTCATAGGATTATTAGGATTTAATAAGTTAATATAATTGGTACCTAGAACTCAGTAAGTACCACCATGTACCTAGGTGCTATTACATAAACACAAAATCTCCTCATCCTTTTTAATTGCTGTTTTTATCCTACTGTATGTACTGTAATTTAACATACTTTCATTTAATTTCCATGATCATTTGTGTCTAGACTTTCCTGTTATGTGAAGTTGTAATAAATATTCTTAAACTCACATTTGTGTTATCTAATGATATGTCTTGGGTAAATTTCTAGTGTGGAATTGCTAGATCAGACTGCAATCACATTTTAATTTCTGTTGCATATTACAGAATGCTCTCTTCCAGCAATATGAAAGTGTGTTTTTCCCGTACTCTTTTAAAGAATTTCTAAACACACATTTT